AATCCCACATAGTATTGGAAACACTATTGGGAATGGTATTTAAGGCTTGACTTTCCCACTTCCTTGTTGAGTGATAGAGAACAAGGGGGACTCTCGCGCGCCGCCGCCGCCGTCGTGGTCGTGGTAATACGTGTCTTCGACATGTCCGCGCGAATACTATCTTTTTAGAGAAAATTCTTAAGAAACAAATGCAATACCGTCGTTGCGATTTTGAACTATCGCAACGAATTTGGAATAAATCACAACGCGAACTTTGACTATCACAACGAACTTGGAATAAATCGCAACGCAAACTTGGACTATCGCAACGAATTTGGAATAAATCGCAACGCGAACTTCGACTATCGCAATGCGAACTTGGACTATCGTAATGCGAATATGTAAATCACAATGCGATAGTCGAAGTTCGCGTTGCGAATTTGGAAACTGATTTGCGATACCGGAGATCGCGTTGCGAATTATCGATCGCATTGTGATTTAGTTGGTCATTTTGGCAAATCCAAAAAAATTGGTTAAAATCGTATATTATAAAGCATTTTTGATCACTGAGGTTATTTTCTCTAATTAAAATGAAAAACTAAAAATTTTAACTTTTACGGTTAATTTGAAACCATCACTTTTATTATATTTTTTCTTCAATATTTACTCGTTTAGCATTAGTTTTACATTAAAAACGAAATTTCTAACTAAAAATGCTTCTAAACTACGTTACCAAACGGGACCTTAGTTGGATTGTAAATCAATTGGATCATAGAAACTGTCTAATTTTCTAAACCCAAAGCCCATCCAACCGAAAGAGCCGAATCCAACTAAAAGGGGAAGGAGACCATTAAAGGAATAAAAAAAAAATCAAGACTCAATATTTAGAGCTGCTAGGGTTTTGCTCAGGTTTTGAGGAACAGGCAGCTGGTATTTTCTTCCTAATCAACTAGTTTTGTGCTTTAAGTATCTTTTTTCTTTCTGATAAGTTTATGTTTTTTTGCTCCAAGTTCTGAGTAATTTGTTTGTCTTGTCGTTCATATGTTTTTGAAATTTTGATTTGCTTCATATGGGAATAAAACTAATGTTTTTACTTTCAACCCCCCCCCCCAATTCTATTTGAATTATTACGAGTTACGACCTTTTGATTTTACCCCATTTTTATGGCAGATTTGTACTCTATGGGGCTGCGAAGCAAAGATTTAAGCTTCTTACAACCCGAGAATGCAGCGGAAGATGATGTAATGGATCCTCACAGTGAGGAAGAAGAGTCTGAATTCGAATCTGAATCGGAGCAGGAAGACGTGAAGTTGATGGAGCCGTCGAAGACCGCCGTATACAATCGAGAAGGCCTTGTCGAGAAGCTCGAAGATATCAGCTGGCCGGAAAACGTCGATTGGATGCACAAGCTTTCCCTCGATATCAATCATGAGAAAGAGGTGGATGTGAACGATGACTTAGCGAGAGAGCTCGCTTTTTACACGCAGGCGTTGGAGGGGACGAGGCTGGCGTTCGACAAGTTTCAATCAATGGGGCTGCCATTCCTTAGGCCACCGGACTATTATGCGGAGATGGTTAAGACGGATGCTCATATGCAGAAGGTCAAGGGCAAGCTCTTGGCGCAGAAGAAACAGATCGAAGAAGCCGAAGAGAGGAGGAAAGCAAGGGAATCCAAGAGGATTGCTAAAGAGGTTCAAGCTGAGAAGTTGAAAGAAAGGGCTAAGCAGAAGAAACAAGAGATTGAGGAAGTTAAGAAGTGGAGGAAGCAAAGGCAGCAGAGCGGCTTCAAAGACGGAAAAGATAGTATGCCGGACTTGGGTTTCGGAGAAGGTAAAACTTTCGAGAGGTCGAGCAAGAAAAGGCCGGAGGTGCCACCGGGTGATCGATCCGGAGGGAAGGCAAAGCAAGGTGGTGGAAAGGGTAATTTGAAGAATAAGAAAAACAGGGAGTTCCGGGATTCAAAGTTCGGGTTCGGAGGAAGGAAAGGTATGAAGAAGCAAAACACTGCAGAAACGACGAACGATTTTCGAGCCTTCAACAAAGGCAGTGTTGCAGGAAACAAGAAAAGGAAAAGGTGAATTTAGCTCGGACTTGTTTTCACTTTTTCAGGGCAATTTTGTTATGCATTTGCTTAAATTTTAGTTGCTTCATCATTAACTATGTTTTTGATACATCTTTAAGCTGTTTTTCTGAGTACATTGTGTAATGGCTACGTTAATTTGGTGTCTTGATGCGGGAGTATGGTATGGATGGTAACCAAAAACCGAGATTGGATAATATATCTCGAGTTCGATTTTTATGATATCGATCTTACGACGACGAGCATTGATCGCCCTCGAATTCTTCTTATGGTTTCGAGCACGAGTTCATTCAAGTATCAATAGGACCTGACATGCACTAGTGCAAGCAAATACATATGTACGATTGTGTATACTATCAAGAGGCCTTACATCCACGTCTTTTTATATAGATTTTTAGGCTGTAAAGTTAATGTACCCTTCATTTACAAGGGAAAGAGACACTAAACAATCTACTCCATGATAGAAGGTCAAAGAGACCAACTTGCAAGTTGACGATGTCTACTAAATAAACGATGCATTGTCCCATTATCATATTGAATCTATGCTTTATTATAAAGTAAGTGTCTAAACATTTTTATTAAATAGGTGGTTGAACTTTTTTTTTTAATCATCCATGTGCCTAACCATATGAATGTTATCGCTTTAGATGTCTGGGTCATAATTACTGTCAAATTATGTCGTTAAATGACAAATCATGTGTAAGGTTATGATAATTCTAAAGATTTTTTTAAAATTATATTTAAAAAATACATAAATTTGAATCACTTCAGGAAAAACTCCAAGCTTTGAAAACCTTCATTTCACGCCAGTCGTATCTTTTTGTCGTCGATGAAGCTAAACCCGACAATCGAAAACTTTATGAAATCATGATAAATCGAAGATCAATCGACGTGTGTAGCTCAACGAACCTTATGTTGCAAATTACGACCCCGTATGATCTTGACAGCTAATCAGCTTCAAGCAAGGTTCAAATAGTGGGACACAAACGCAATAGCGACTGTTATTTTGCGGTCGTGTCGTCGTCCAAAACTGATATTTAATAATTTAGCGTTGGGTAACGAATTCACGTCGATATCGGTCCTTCGCGCCCACAATTTATCGGGTAATAGTGAATAGCGTCGATAACAGGATGCTATTACCGCTTTTCAACCGTTACTACAAAAGAAAAATGCTTAAAAGAGTTGGAATTCTCACACAAAAAGCAACAGGGAAAAGAAACTTGGACAACCATGTTTATTGTCACACAATGACACCCCCCAAAGAATATGGTCGAGTGGACGCTCGATGAAATTTTGTGAAAAATGAAAGGTTGAGAATAGAGAGATTTGGACTTGTGGAGAATTAGAAGATATGTTTGGGTTTTAACTCAAACAATGAAAGGTAATAGTTTGGGCCGTCCACTCCTACTCCTACTCCCACTGGCCACTCCCACTCCCACTCCCACTCCCATTTCCTCACCTTATTTTATTTTTTAAATAAAATTTAAAATATATTTTTAAGTGATATGTTAATTTGTTATCCTTATCTTTTAGAATTTATAATTTAATCCTTACTTTAGAAAGTAAACTTTTGTTTATGCAATTGTTACTATTTCGAAGTAAACACGAGACATTCAGTACTCCACAAGCACAAAGAACTTGGAATCAAATGAATCCGAAATAGTTAATTAAATTATTTACTTTATATTATTTAATTATATTATATATCTTATTTCTTTTAAATAATAATGTATTCACAATGTCATCACTCATCATTAATTATCTTATTCTTTTGTCGGGTTTTTAAAATCTTATATTTGATTAAACTATATTATATAATGTCACTTTCGCTTAGAAAACATTCTAAAAATCATTAAAAATGACTCATTATAATTATAATTATTGTGTTTTAAGATAAGTTGTACGAAATTTTAAAAAAATTCACGACCGCGACACCTGCAGTGACCGCAATGGCCTGTGTTATGTCCATAACTGCGATAAACGCGACACGATCGAAAACATGACCGCGAACGCTATTTAAATCCCTGGTATCAAGTATGACAGCGTATGACTAGAAAGATAGCAAGAACTATGTCGGCGGTAGTGGATGTGGCTGGTAAAGACGATGTCGGCGATATTATGACCCCACATAATTTTTTTTTTATTTTTTTGAAAATAAAATTTTCAAAATTATCGTAACGTGAAACGTGTCATTTAATAGAGAAATTTAACGACAGTTACTGCCTGGACACTTAAAATAATAACATTCGTAACGTTAGACACCTATATGATTAAAAAAAAGTTCTGATTACTCATTTAAGAAGTACAATATAATTTTTAAATTATTTTATAATTAAGGCTAGAATCTAAGTTCTTCCTACACTTTCGAGACCCAAGTATTTGGTTGATTGCATTCATCATCTTAAATATGATCCCGCCAACAAAGCCAAATACCACCAATACCATGCAACCTCAACATGATGGGAGTTCAGAAATCCTAGAGCAGCAATAATAGAATCGGCATGAGACCCGTTGATGTGAGGTTCCACCAAACTGATAACATCAGGACAACAGTCACGGAAATACTGGCGAGCAGCAGTAACAAACTTAGGGTTGCCACAACCTTGAACATTCCGAAAGAAGAGATTAAATCCATAAAAAAAAGAGTGAGGAGGGCCAAAACGACATTTGATAAGCCGACATGCTGGTCGAGTTATTGTTCATCTCAGAAGGGGCAATCTTTGGCACATGAGAGGCCAATAACAAAGTGGAAGTGCTGCTTTCGAGATTAACAGTGGTATTAGAAGGTTAGATGTGAGGTCAAGCGGTTTGGTGTGGGGGATTATATCAGAGAAGTCAGGGATAATAACCACTGGGTGTTTCAACCTATCAAACCCAGAAGGAGGCTGAGTCTTGATAATACTGCGACTATCAGCCATGGAGAAGGCAGTGGAGTGGTGTTTCATGGACGGTTTGACCGAAAGTTTTGGCGAGCGGGGGCAATTGGTTTGCAAGAAGGCACTATACTTTTCAACTTGACCTTCTTGGCTCGAGCTGAGATATTCACCTTTCCTGTGTTAGTAGTAGCCACGACTGGTATTTTATTGACCGATATATTCTCATTCTCGATGCTGGTGGCTGGTATTGTGTTAACCGAGGGTGCAGATGGTTGCTGGACAGTTTCGGGGGTGAAGGCTTCGCGAGTTGTTTCGACAGGTTGTTGTTCAACTGATTCAAATAGGGGGTTAAAATTGGATTCAGATATGGATGGGCCATGTTTTTGCATGGGATTTGCATGGGTGTTATGTTGGGATCGTTTCTGCCTTCGGTCAACTAGCATCCACGGTCTGAACGACTCACTAGTTTCGGGGGTGAAGGCTTCGCGAGTTGTTTCGACAGGTTGTTGTTCAACTGATTCAAATAGGGGGTTAAAATTGGATTCAGATATGGATGGGCCATGTTTTTGCATGGGATTTGCATGGGTGTTATGTTGGGATCGTTTCTGCCTTCGGTCAACTAGCATCCACGGTCTGACCGACTCACTAGTTTCGGGCTTGGTTTGTTCATTTGTAGGGATGTAAGTTGAATGGTGGTCATTTGTAGTAGTTATCTTCGGGCAAGTATCCTTGACATGGCCACATGTTCCGCAATTGAAGCAAACCGTAGGAAGAGATTCATACTCGATGATCTGAATACGACTATTAATGGAGAGCTTGGAGATTAGAGGCTGGTTGAGGTCAACTCGTATGGCCATCCTCACAAATCGTCCTTTTCATCCACATTCCGTTTGGTAGTCGATCTTGATTATCGGACCAATGTTCTCTCCAATTTCAGTGATGATGATGCGTTTGTATAGAGTGACTTGAAAACCAGAGAGGCGAATCCAAGCAATAACCTTGCTTGGATATGGTTACCATGGGCAGAAATTTGACGACGAAGGCTCGATGGTGAGGTAATAGCCAAATATCGTCCAGGGACCATCAGATAAAACCTTCAAATAATCCGATTGGGTGCGAATGTTAATTAGGTAATAATCATTTTCATTGTCCATCAACTTAAAAGGTTGCGATGGTTTCAGAGCTCATATATCTTGTTTCGAAGGGTAGTGTAGCTGATACGTCGCCCAAGGAGTTTGACAACGATGGTCTGGGTAAGGTTCTTTTCCGCTAGAGATTGGATGCATTCAAAGAATCCGATCGATAAGAGACCATCAATTACGGTGCTGGTGACGTCTTCATTCGGTATTTCGAAATCCTCTTCATCAAGGATTTATTCTTCAGGGATTGAGTGGCACTGTTTATCACCCATTAGTTTATCTTTGTAAGATATCGCCGGGGGAAGTGGTAGTCTGCTTGTCCAAATCCATGGTGAGTTCTGAAATCTGGAGGGGCCAACATTGGGATCGGAAAGTATTACTGTCGGCAACCAGTTCTTGTTAGGGGGTTCATCTTCAAGGTGGCACAACTTTTTTGGATTGAGGTCAGGAGGGTCTATTTTTTCTTTTTGTTTATTTGGTTAGTGAGAAAATTGAATAAATGATGAGAAAATAAGGGAACAGGTGAAAAAAAAGGTGTAATCTAAAATTGATCAGGGTCAGGTCAGGTTAAATCGGGTTTTTAGTTCAAAATTTTGGTAGGTATCAGGTCGAGTAAAACCTTTTAAAATTACGTTCGAGTCGAGTGAGGGGTAATAATTTTTGGGTCGAAGTCAGATATGTAAAAATCTTACTCATGCCCATCTCTACTTACCCTTAATTTTGATTAACAAATTGCAATAGAAAATTTACACTTTATTTAAGTGTTTCTAATGAAAAATTTGTCTCTTTCTCAAAAATAAACTTTTAAGAAACCCTAGTCCCTCTCTCTTCCCTCAACATAGTTTTCTTACTATATTTTTGTGACGCTTCTTTCTCTTGATATTTGTTTAGTCAGTGACGGTATTAATCTTAATGTTAGTTGTCGACAGTCGGGGAATATTAATTCTCTAACTTTTATTATGTCTATTTTTTCATGAGTCTTTTTAATTTTGAATAAACATCTCTTACATTGTGACATGATTTTTCTATGCTCTTGTGACACTATCCTCATATTTTTCGGTATGTTTTTCACATACCTTTGCGGTTGTTTTGGTTCTTGCACAAAAACCATCATAACATTTATTTTCTGATTGGTTAGTAGGTGGTCACGTATAGTCAGATCCCCTTTTTTGGTAAAAAGGTTATTTGCCGATTTAATCAGAATTGTGTAGCGAAATAACCTGCCAGATTATTTGGTTCGTTCTCCACTCTTTATCACTCTGTCAAGCGTCTCATTCGACAAAGACAAGGAATTTGTATGAAGGTTATTGGATTTTGATATTGGTTGTCATTCTCAATGGAATGTTTTAAGTTTCTTCGTATTTTAAGTTTATTATTTACTTTTGTTTGAGTATTTTGGTGACAATTGTCTCCAAATTTATCTCTTTATTATGATGTGTTGTAATATTGATTCTTTCCAATATTAATAAGATTCAGTTGCTATTATTAAAAAAAATATAGGAGAGTTTTACATGATTTATCCACTTCACATTTAATTAGACATGAATGGATACATGTTTCATAAGTGGTGAGGCGAGAATGAAGATAAAAATTAAACTCATTGTAAGTGGTGAGACAAACATGAAAAAGATATTATACACATGATCCTCATTAATCATGGCATGAACTATGAATGATATGATTTTATTAACGAAAAAGATAATGTATGAAGGTTATTTTTTTAATCTTGGCATGCACCATTATTTATATTTAAATATTATGGACTTTATTTTCTATTTTTTTAAACTAGTGTTGAATTGTATTTTAATTTATGAATTAACTTAATATTTTTTAAATGAATTATGAATTAATTTATGAAATAATAACATATATATATGACAAAAGTTCGAATGACATGTATTTTATTTTTTTAATAAGAATGGTTTCTATTAATTTTATTAATACTTATAAATAAATAATTCTATGAAATACAACCCTAATAACAAATTATAAAACTCATAAAATAATAACAAATTGTACAAGTGAAAATAAAGCGGAAAAATCCAAGTGTTAATCAGTGAAAGGGTTTCACACTCTGTCGGTTGCCCTCGCAGGTCACAGGCGATAACCCAAGCCACGTGCCTTTCTCCTTCTGGCTAGTACCGAGTGCCCACCATTTTCTACCTCGAAACGCCTCTCCCGTATATATTACAAATCCAAAGACAATTTGCATAATCTTGCTTCCACGGTCTTCCATTGTAGGGTGAGGGCTCATTGCGCCGCTTTTCAAAGCTTCCATTCATTCCGCCATCGCCGCCGCAAATCCCGCTCCTCATCTCATAACCGCCGCCGGATAACGGCTGCTCCAAGGAGGGAACTTCATGCTTCCGTCACAATCCCCGAAATCCTCTTCTTCTCTATCGAAAAAGACGACCCCAGAATTGAACTCATTCGAGCGCAAAAACTCATCCGGCTCTTTCCGTTCACAGAGTTCCTTCTTTTCCCCAAACAATAATCGCTTATGGCTACTTGTTTTGATCATTTCATTGCAAATAATCCTCCTCCTCATGGCTCGTGCCCTCCCTTTTTTCCACCGCCGAACCCATTTCCCTTCCCCTTTGTCCTACTCCGATAAACTCCTTCAAAATTCGTCTAATGTTTCATCCACCCATCAATTAAAATCCGCCGACATTTCGATTTCCGAGGCCGTTTCACCGCCCGAACGGTGTTCGTCGGGTCGGATATATGTTTACAACCTACCGGCTTTTTTCAACCGAGAGTTGTTAGATAACTGTGCCGATTTAGACCCGTGGCATTCGCGTTGCGAGGCTTTGTCCAACGACGGGTTCGGGAGGAAAGCTACCGGATTATCCGGGGTCGTACCGGAGGGTTTGGTTCCAGCTTGGTACTGGACCGACCAGTTCGCCATGGAAGTTATTTACCACAACCGCATTTTGAACCACGAGTGCCGTACGACGGAACCGGATTCGGCGACGGCGTTTTACATACCGTTTTACGCGGGTCTCGCCGTCGGGAAGTACTTGTGGCTCGGGTATAGTTCGAAGGATCGTGATCGGTACTGCGAGATGTTGCTGAAGTGGCTGCAGGATCAACCGTACTGGAACCGTTCCGACGGCTGGGATCATTTCATGACGATGGGGCGTATCACGTGGGATTTCCGGCGGTCGAAGAACGAAGACTGGGGCTCCAGCTGTCTCTACGTGCCGGGTTTGAGGAACATCACTCGTCTTTTGATCGAACGAAATCCTTGGGACTATTTCGATGTCGGCGTTCCGTACCCCACCGGATTCCACCCCAGATCGGATTCCGACGTCGTCCAATGGCAGGACTTCGTTCGCAACCGCCGCCGTGAAACCCTCTTTTGCTTCGCCGGAGCACCGCGTAGCACAATCAGGAACGATTTCAGAGCCTCGCTGCTCAGCCAATGCAACAATGCTTCGGGTTCATGCCGAGCCGTGAATTGCACCGGTACCTGCTGCTCCAACGGCACCTCCTTGATCCTTGAGACTTTTCTTGATTCCAGCTTTTGCTTGCAGCCGAGGGGCGACAGTTTCACTCGCCGCTCTGTCTTCGACTGCATGATCGCCGGATCGATCCCAGTGTTTTTCTGGCACCGAACAGCTTATCTTCAGTACCAGTGGTTTCTTCCCAATGACCCCAAGAGTTACTCTGTTTTCATCCACCGCGACCTGGTGAAAAACGGGACATCGATAAAATCCGTACTCGAAAGTTACAGCCGAGAAGAGGTGAATCAAATGAGGGAGAAAGTGATTCGATACATTCCCAAACTGGTGTATGCAAAACCCGAAAAGGGTTTGGAGAACACAAAGGATGCATTTGATGTCGCCATTGATGGTGTATTACAGAGAATCAAGGAGCAAGAGCAGCCTGGATTCAAGTGGAAGCGGTGACTTGCCTTTTCCTAAGAATTATACACACGTAACAATAAAATTCTCAGAGTACGTAGATTCTTTCTCTTGTTTTTGCAGGCGAGGGCATGATTATTCTTCCCCTGACATTGTTGTATCTGTATTTTTCTACACAATAATGACATACCATATATGATTATTATGAATAAGAAATTATATTAGAGATGTAAATTCTCGTCCTCGGCGATTATTATACGTCGGAGCTGCAGCACTAGTGATTGTTGATCCTGAAATCATGGCTAGAAGATCGGAACAATTGACATATGTGCAGATGGCACGATTTGTCTGCAGCAGCAAGCAAACCAGCTGAAGATGGAAGTAAGGTATCACTTTTCAATTGGCCTATGACATAATTGGCATTTATTTAGATGATATACATTGTTGCAGCTTCTTCTTCTTCTTCCTTTCGTTGGCCTATGAGTATCATGTTGAGATTTGAGTAAAGTTTTGGTTGGGGATGGCTTTTTACATTAAAAGAAAATAGTGTAATGGTAAGCTTATCAGTGCATAAAGAACTAAAGGAAGCTCAATTCTTAGTTATTTTTCTGAATAAGCAGTAGTGGTCTTACTTTATTCGTTGGAAAATATAGTGAAAACCTCGGACAAGGAGAAAAAAATACGGTTGGATGAGATTTTCTAGTAAGAAAACAAAAGAAGAAAACATTAAACAATTGGAGGAATCATTGTCGCTCTGCTAACTACTTGAATTAATTTGTTATCATTGTCCTGCTTGATTCATATTTTTATGTGTATATGATATTTTCAAATAAAATAAATTTATTGTATTTCGCTTTTTTTTTTATTTAATTTATTTCATGTCTGGTTTTTTGATTTGTTTCTGATTTGTCCCAAAGCTGTCGGTAATTAAACCAAGCCAAGCAACCATTTCTATGTATGACGAAAAGGCCGAGCCCTTGGGTTTGTTGGAATTATTTAGACACTTGGGTGGGCCTATGGGGAATTTAGGTCGAAAAAGACAACTCTTTAGACAGCTATTAATGAAACATATGGCATGACAAGTCTTTGTCCATAGACAAAGACCTGCGAGTGTCGATCACAGATCCAATGTATAAGATGAATAATGGGAAGAACAGTGAACGTTCAATTGATTTGAATTATTTTTTTTTGAATTATTTGAGTTAAAGAGTTTATTATATAATTCGGATTTGATTTAAAATTTTTTCGAATGGAGTCAAATCGATTTTTAGAGTTTTATTTAAATTTAATTAAAAATATTTATAATATTATATTATTTTTGATTTTAATTTAAGTGACTTTCTGTAATCATATATATAATACAAATATATTTCTTCATATTTTATTCATGTGATATACATATATCAGATAAAGTCTAATGACTCGATTTAAACTTAAAAATAAATTCACTAATTATTAAAATTTTGAGTTATTCGAGTTACATTTTACAATTATATTTGAACTTGAAATTTTTCGAGTCGAGTCGAGTTTATGAAATTGTAACTCGAAGTCAATTCGAGTCGAGTTTTTTTCGAGTCAAATTAAATCGAAAAATTTAATTTTTCTAATCGATCCGAATTTTGAGTTGCATCAAGTTGTACCTTTGACCGTTTTAATTAGCATAATCGTTAGTTTTTGCTTGTGTGAATGCCAATTGTTTGCTTGTTTCCATATTAGCTAAATTACTGACGTGTCTCATGATGATGTGACATTTATTAAAAAATAAATAATAAAATATTTTAAATATTTTTAAAATGTTTAATAAATATTTAGTAAAATATTTAAAATATTCCATCTTGGTGGCCTCCACGCAAGCGGCGGTAACAAGGGAGTAAGCTATGGTGAACATGTGTCGGACAATCGATGGTCAGAAGAACAATGAGAAACTTGATGTCAAAAGAAACGAAAAGATCAAATAAATGAACAAATATCAATGCATTAAAAACTCAACTCAAATCCAAATCTTCTATTCCAAATTAAAAGATCAAGAATGAAACTTTTTTTTTTGACAAAATATCTCAAAATCCATATTTCTGTTCATATTTGATGTCTTAAATATGTAATTTACCCTAAATTACATATTTAAGAATCAATCACGTTAACACCTGGTATTTAATGGTTTCTTAACCTGATTTTTTAATCTCAACTTATTGATTGATAGAATCCCACGATAAGTATCGATTTAATAATTTTTTCCCAAATTCAAATACCAATTTGATAAAAAAAAAAAAGAATACAAGTACTAAGTTGAAAAGTTTTCAAATTACGATACCAATTTGTATATTGAACAAAACTTTTAAAGGTAAATTACACACGTACTCACTATATTTCACTTCTCTCATATTTCACTCATCGTACTTTTAATTTTTTAATTTGTTCACTAAATCTTAGAGATTGAATTTTTTGATCCATCAACCGTTAATTTTTAATACCGTTATGACACGGCATAATTAGCTTCTTTTTTGTACAAATAGGAGAAGACCCGTGTTAGTTCCGTATGCAAAAAAATAATAATATAAATAAACTAAAAGGGAAAATAAATGAAAAGAAGATTAAGGGGTTGTTTGTTTGTCTTTTAATAGAATCATTCAGTGTTGAATACTGAATCGTTTAACATTCAGCGCGTTTGTTTCGTACCTCTGAATGATTCAGTGCTGACTGATTCAGCAAAACAGTACTGACTGATTCAGCACAGAAGTACATCATTCAGAGCCAGTTATCAAAACATGTCATATTTAGAGTCAAACCATTCAGAGTCTCTGACTTATTCAGCATTTGAATTATTCGACGCTTAATCATTCTGAAGTAAACCAACAACCCCTAAACCAACATAAAACCAAAAATACAAACAGGTTCTTCTTCTTCGAAGAGGCTATCAACGACAGACTTCAGTCGGCGGAAAATGAAGGCGATGAAAGAGTTAAGGTTGAAGGGTAGATGAGGGGTTTCCTCGGACGAGCAATGAGAATCGACTGAAGCTAATGCATGCATTATATGGATTCTATTTCTACCAATAAAATTGAATAAGAATGAAGAGAAGTTTCTTGCAAATTGTACCCAAAGAACACTACCACATCAAACAATGAGGATGAAATAGGGTAAAATCCATCATCCTTTGGCACTTAACAAAGGATGAAAAAAAAACCACGAACACAAATAGACAAAAACCATTTCATTATTCGAAAGAATAAGCACCAAAAACAAAAGATAAATCCATCCATCAGGTTGCTTACCGATGCACCGAAAGCACCCCGTCACAATGGTCGGCTTGGGACATCAATCCCAGTGGGCCAAGAATGGTGGGTACCCAGGCTTTGGTTGCCTTCATGATCTCTCTGTTGGATCATAAACTTGATCCATTATGGGAGCCTAAACCCAAACCCAAACTAAATTGATGTCATTACTTACATCATTTTTAAAGATGTCATTGCTTACATCATTTAATTAATGATGTCATTGCTTACATCAATTTAGTTAGGTGAGAGTTAGATATTTGTTGAATTTGTAATGGTTTAAATTAGTTTATTTGTGTGGTGTAGGATTGTTCTTGAGTAGTATAAATACCCCTTCCCATTTTAGTTTAAGCATCAAGAAAAATTAAGAGCTTCTAAGTGAGTGAAGAAGCAAAGTCTTATAAGAGTGAGTTGTAGTTCTTGTTTTTGAGTGAGAGTACTCTTGTAATATTTGTTTGAGTTTCAAAAAAGTTGTTTGTGTGAGTGTTTTATTTCCAACATAGTGGCATCAGAGAGAGTTGGAAAGATCGAAGGTCTCGACAAGAGGAATACGACGCCGCCAGAATTTTCTCAATCTGAGTTCTGACGCACCGCCACGCACCGCCGGAAGACTGCTGCCAAAAAAAATCGAGTTGACTCACCGAGTTGAGCCGATTCAGCCGAGTTGGAGCCCTTGACCGAGTTGTCCAAGTCCCTCCAAAGTTTTTTTCATCGTTCCGGATTCATCCCTGCAATCGGATTTTACAAAATCTCATTATATTGAGAGATATGGCAAATGGTATGGCACCATTCCAAGTTCCGACACTCAACAACAACAACTACGACAATTGGAGTATCAAAATGAAGGCACTTCTTGGATCACAAGATGTGTGGGATATCATAGAGAAAGGCTATAATGAGCCTGCGGATGATGATGTTTTTGCTACTCTTACACCAGATCAAAAGACAACTTTGAAGGATTCAAGAAAGAGAGACAAGAAGGCTCTCTACCTCATCTATCAAGCATTAGATGATGATGGTTTTGAAAAGATTTCAAGTGCAAGCTCTAGCAAGGAAGCGTGGGAGAAGCTGCAAACCTCTTACAAAGGATCCGAGCAAGTGAAGAAGGTTCGTCTCCAAACATTAAGAGGTGAATTCGAATCCTTAAACATGAAAGCATCTGAGTCTATTTCAGATTATTTCTCAAGAGTAGTAGCTGTTTCTAATCAATTAAAAAGAAATGGTGAAAAGTTAGACGATGTGAGGATAATAGAGAAGATACTCCGTTCGTTGGATCCCAAATTTGAGCACATCGTCGTGACGATTGAAGAAACTAAAGACTTGGAAGAAATGAAGATCGAACAGCTCCAAGGATCATTGCAAGCATACGAAGAGAAGCATAAAAAGAAGCATGAGTTTACTGAGCAACTCCTCAAGCTGCAACTCAAGGATATTCATGAGAGCCAACACAATGATAGAAACCAACGTGGCCAAGGCAGAGGTAGAGGCCATGGACGAGGTGGAAGTCGAGGTCGTGGACGAGGCTGGAATTACAACAATAACAATTCCAACAACAACTATGAGAAAGGAGAAAGCTCAACACGAGGCCGTGGAAGAATTAATCCAAACTCAAAGTATGACAAATCTCAAATTCGATGTTATAATTGTCAAAAATTTGGGCATTATGCTTCAGAATGTAGAGCTCCCAACAACAAAATTGAGGAGAAGGTCAATTACGTGGAGGAAAAGACAGATGGCAAAGAAACTCTTCTTCTAGCACGAAAGGAAACTGATGGTGGCCAAGCAAATTCCTGGTATCTTGACAGTGGTGCAAGCAATCACATGTGTGGAAGGAAAGACATGTTTGTGAAGCTAGACGAGTCAGTAAGTGGAAATGTTTCGTTTGGAGATGATTCCACAATAGCAGTGAAAGGGAGAGGTAACATTCTTATCCGTTTGAA